AAGATTTAATAATCAATCTCTCTTTTCTCCTAACTAGATTCAACTTGAGTACCGTGGATTCATCCTACCCTATTGGGTGGTTGTACATTACTGTGTGTATTGTAATAGCTAACACTGATATCGTCATCATCATTGAATGGTATTCGGTAAGTTAAATTATTTTGTTTGATTCGGTTAGTTGAATTCACACTGTTACAAAGTTTATTGCTTTGAATGTGACCTTAATTCTAGCCTTCTTTGGAATTCTGATGTTTTCTCGTTAAATGGTAACATAATAGACGTTGTGAAATTCTTCCTATCTGTGTTGTTATTACTATTCATATAATTATTGCTACTTGTTTTCTTTTGTTCTTATAAATTTTTTGATAAACACTAGATGGTCATCGGTGACTAGTTGTGTTTCCTTATTTAAATCTTCGGATCCATTCGTAAGTTTTTCAACACTTTTAGTTAAAGCCTTGATGTAATCTACTTAAATTGGTACTGAATGAGATAACTTGAAGTCTAGATACCTGTAAGAGTTCATTGTTCTTCTGTAGACGGTAATGTCTAAAATACTATCTGCTCTTCGATCCACTTAGTAGTCTAACATGATCAATTGCACTTCTTTCTTTTCTACTTCTAAGTGAACTGGGTTGCACCAACAATTGAGTTTACACCTATGAAGCAACTATCAGTGTGTTCCGATTTCAGCACAACAGATATAACATCGAAGATGAATAACGGTTGAGAGTGGAATCCATCATTGATCGAACACTACTAACATATAGGCTTCTGTGCGGATACCTCAATATTGTATGTTTTTTTTAATTTGAAGCTAACAATGGATAGGCGCTAGGAGTGAGATTCAGGAGACGCCTTTCTTCCTATTTAGGACTCAACAGCTGAATTTTTAAAAAACAGTAGATCTGAAATATAAATCTAATATAGGATAAAATTCCATCACGATACTGAAGTTTTACGCTTAAATTCATGTTAGTGTGTTTCTTTGTAGGAAACAAGTTACACCACTCTGGTTTGGAATTGGATTGAATTACCTTCTCACTGCTATCGACACAAATGTTACAGTCCACCTAATTACGAGACAACAGTCTAAGGCTAGTGAAATTAATGCATAGAGAATTTTATTCAAGGTGCACACAATATAAAAGTCGTCTACTGTAGACAGTACATGGAGTTATGCTTTTGATTGATGATTGTCACAAGTTTTTGCTTGCTATATTAAATACTTGTGACCGTCTGATATCAGTCAAATCGATAATAACAGTAAAGAGGTGAGAATAACATTATGACAATGGTTATTTTATGTCACATAAGCGATAAAGTTTAAAAACTTCTACTGTTGAACCCTAAAAAGGTGGACAGATATTAAAGTGCTTACCTATCCACTTGAATGAACTAACTTCCATTTTAAAGAAGTCATTAGGGTATGAGTCTCTTTGATATGAAATTTCTCCAGTCAAGATAGGTGGGGCAGGCCAAATTGAACTTGAGGATAGATAATCAAGGTGAGCGTTCAGATTAAAGTCACTCTGTGTCATCGTTAAAACTGAAGGTCATACCTATCCACTGTTGAGGAGTCCCATAGTAGGACGGAACGACTATCCAATCCTCCAAGGTTTCCAGTGGTGATGAACACTAACTTGAAATCAATAAAATCCCTAAGACAACTTCAGGTTGAATTTAGTGATTTATTTAAGTTTGTAACTTTACTTTATGCTTGTATCCAAGTATAAAACAATTGCTGGTTACGTAACCTTGTTTCATCATCTAAGGTAGAATTCCTATGTATATTGGACAAAGAGTGTACACAAATGACAACCTCGTGAATAGCATTTATGATAGTGTGATTTGCCTCATACTAAAGTCTACTTAGACTAACCGCTTATTTGTAGGCAATATATTCTACTTCCATCTACTTAAATTCATTATATAAGTAGTCTAGTGGAAGTATCAATTCAGGTTCCTTTCTCTTTTCTTTTTTCTTTTACAATACGATGCAGTCATAGAGTGATTAGGGCCGTCATTGATGATATACTTTAAGATAGACAGCTAGAAATATTAGCAAACCAATATGCTTATCTGTTATGCACTTCATTTTGCTGCATATGTATAGTCTAATTTACACCTAGATGGTTATAAATTAGCTTCATTTAAGTTCTCTCTTCACCTTGACATTTATCCTAATTACGTGTCACACACACACACATACACACTAACTAGGAGTAGAACTAGTTGGATTGAAGTTAGACTATCATAAATCCATCAGTTAATCAGCCAGTCACCTAATTCAGTAGTGCAGATAAATTTTAAAAAAATAATCATTGCTTATCAGTAATGAGAAGGATTAACTTTATTTCATGATTAAAAAATTAATTAATAGTTGTATGCAATTTTTCAGCTATACCTCGTTATCTATGATAAGCATACTGAAAGAGTTTGTCAGCTATGACAAGCTGAAATTTTTATAGTGTTGTGTTCTCTGAGCTAACTGGTTGAATCATGAAGCTTTCATTGTCATTCTAGACATCATCATCAGCGCAAACTTTAGAAAGAAGCAGTTTAGTGGCTTGTCCCGATGAACTTCGATGTGATTGGTTGTCTTTATACGTAACTTGGTTGGTTGTTCTGCCAACCTAAAATTCTACATTCTTTTTCTCTACTTCTGAATACTGGATAGACTGTATCGATTTCATTGAAAATTTCAATGATCTACAAATATTCCCCATCATTTCACAAATGCAAATTCTTTGTCATAAATTGTGACTGGTAGGCTGGATATAATATACCCAAGTTTCAATACCTACTGTCCAATCAAAGCAAGAAACCAGTTTATAGTGAACTACATTTCAAAGGTGTCAAGATCATGGCAAGAATCAAAACAAGGATTAACACTACGCTGACAAGAACATTTTCTGTGGGTGATTTGATCTGTTTATATGGAATCCATAGGTTAAAGGCAGAAACTCAGGTGATTATTCAGTTTCTTTTTTTACAAGATATGCATTAAATATTCTTTCTTAACCTAGACAAAAGGTGGAATCATTGGCACCCTATTGGTCTATTAATCACCATGGTCAAAGATTGTATTAGTCAGATCTTATTGGTTCATAATTACTCCATGACAGAGAAGATAATTATTCTTTATTAAACTTGTCAGTTCTTAGTTCAGTAAAATAACTATTTAAACGATTATATTTTCACTTGTCTTTCACCTTGATGGAGAGCAGTAACTATTGACTGGTTACTTCACAAAATTCGACTGGTTTCCTTTCCATGTTACCTTTAATTGTATGCACCAGTTTATGCTTATATAGAGGAGCAGTTATATTAGGAAATTGTGACTACCTAATGGTGGAACAAATTCATACAGGAGTTCAGTTGTTTGGTGTCTTCTAAACACTGGACATAAAATCGTAAGTTAGGCTAGGAACGTCATCCAGTGAATGATACTGTATCATTATGTGGTATAAACCAAATAAGCAAACATAAATACCTTTCAGAACTTGTATGTAGACTTCAGGTCATCTCATCCAATGCCAGTTAAGGCAGATGTAGCCGAATGTCTGAATGATATAGCTAGAAAACTGACTATTCAGTGGAAGGATCTAAACAAGGAATTGAAGCAAATAAAGGGAGCGTTGTTAATTAATTATTATCCGCTACCGTTTATGAAAAAATTCGGATGAACACGTTAGAACCAAAACATAACAGTAAAACGAATACGAATAAAAGAAACGACGTGAGTAGAAAGGAGTCCAAAGCCTCTAATGTGTTACCATATAATGAAGGAACATCAGAAACTTTACGTAGGATTCTCAACAAAGCTGGAATTAGGGTGGCATTTGAACCTACAAACTGATCCGGAGATAATCTTTTCGGTATAAGGATCCGACCGATCCAACTGAACAAAGTAATCTAATCTATCAAATTCCATGTAATAACTGTGAAGCCAAGTACATAGGTAAAACTAATCGGTCGGGGTCATTTAGACTAGTGGAACATAGGAATTTAGCTAAATGTAGAATGACAGACTCGAATAAAATCAGTAATCTAGAAAAACACTTCGCTATTGCAGTGCATGCATTGACAGACAACCACACAATAGGATGGGTGGGATAAAGCCACTGTACTTAGGTTCAACATAATTAAGTAGAGAGATAGAAAGAAAGAGAGAGGGAGAGATTGATTACTGACTTTTTCATCATCGAATCAACACCTAACGCAAGTAATAGGAATGATGCAAAACCTGTACTCGACAAGTGTAGCTCATTTCAGTGTTCGTGCCAAAATGTCCGCGTACACTACCCGGGAGTTAAAAAGCAATGACTATCACCCTTCTATTCCTTTTTCATTCTGATTTACTTCAAACAAGCGTCGTCTAGGGAAAGTATTTTAAACCTCACCTTCCATATCAAATCTACAAGTTATATATGGAGAATCTGGGAATTTCAAATCAGCATGACAATATAAGTGATTAGCAGATAACTAGTAAAAAAAAACTATAGATAATAAATGTGCCTTAGAGTTTGAATATTACAAACTTCAAATCAATCACTTAAATCCCTATAAACCTCTAAATTGAATTAGTGCCCATTTCTCATTAGTGGGCGACTCCTTTCCACATAAGACCTCCTCAAGTTCCAATAGTGACCGGTGGGGTGAACTAAATCAGATGTGAAGGCAAATACTCATCAAAACCGTTATATGTTGGTCATGCTATATAGTGAAAAAATGCGGACTGTTTGATTGGTAGCACGCTGACCATAGAACCTCAAGGTGGTAAGCGCAAACGGCTGAGGGCTCCTGGGTCTTTATTGGTTCTCCGAGTGATGTCACTGCGTGACGAGGATTAACTGGATGCTGCACCCCTGTTTAGGTTTTGTACTTCTACCTCTATTGATGCATCTCTACAGACAGCAGACTAAAAATTACCATCGGTTTATATAGATGGCTCTATTTGCAAAAAGCAAAAAATAAAGAATAGACCTGAAACTTACTTTTTGGTTCAAAAGTGTATTTTCCAGTAAATCCATTGGATTTAAAATTTCCTGAGTCACTTGATGATAGACATGCTTCCATCATCAGAATATTCTTCTTGGAGATGTAGTGATGTTGACTGATTTCATCCAAATTACCACATAATTCATAACTGTACATATCATCATTGCCTAACTCATTTGTCTCCAAGTTGTCAAATATTCTAACATACTCTGAACATCTGAAAGTACATATGGAAGAGAATAATATAAAGGTAACTCCAAAATATTTTTATCCAAATGAATATTGACTACAGATAATTATGAAATCCATTAGAAAGTTGAATGAAACCTTAAGGCATGCATTATTTGACAGTATCATTATATCAGTCGGCTTTACATTTTCTAGGTTATATGAATTCACTGAAGATTATAAAATACTGATAAATTTCAGGATGAGATAATCAACTGGTGTTACATATTGTTGCACAATCCTTGCAAATAGTCGTATAGCCTTATCCCGCTGCAGACGTCTGCAACATCGGAATCTGTCGATTCCGTATGCAGGTCGACCTTAAAGTACGACTCGAACAAAATTACCAAGTCTAATTCATCTAATAATTATATACAAAATGGGTCACACAAATCTCAAGTTCCTAACAAAACTGACAACAAAACAATAAGTATTACGCACAAAGTGCGCATAATATACACCATCGAGCTAAACTAGATAATATAAGTAAGTAGGTTAGTCATATTCAAACCAAAGTAAGTCATTCAGAAATGAATGAAGTGATCAAGCAATTATAAGTAAATAAAGACACCAACCTCCTATAAAATAATGTTAACATCAATTAAGTCATCAGCAGAATGAATTTCAAAACAAATAGAATAATACGATGAATGACACTCATACGAGATTCACCTTGTTCTCCAATATTTCAATGCTTCAAAATAACCATTTCTCACTAGGATGTCACAGTATCCAGTGAACACTTTCAGCGAGTAAATATGCCTGAAGACTGACATGGAGATGAGCAACAATATTTTACCACATGTCACATAGCTAATACATAAAGAAAAGTAGTGAGAATCTCAGTAATCAACCAGTCAATTCTCACCAATCGATACAAAGCAGCTGTTACAAGTATCCCGACATTTCTACATCACGGTAATTGCTTCCTTCACAAACACTTCCTGGGAATTAGGTTCCCAATATTGCAACCGCACTCTACAACTCAAACACAAGAAACAATCCCCATACAGATATGCTGTACAAAAGTCAGATCCTCTGTATTTCGACAACATATTTCGCATCGATTCTTGAGATAGTGGAGAGGATTTTCGATTCACGATGAGGATGACGATGGCTTCGTCTTCTCAAAACCTCCAGGTTCACTCATAAACGCTTCATTACTAACCAGTTCAGGCAAATTCATCATCATCTCCTACATCAAGAAATCCTGATTATCGTCTCAATAACATTCAAAAGCAAAATACTCGTCTCGATTACTCCTCCAAATGGTTGAATTACCTCTCAAACCATACCACATATTCCATCATAAACACTGCAAACAACCTCAGATTATTTCTCAAAATGGGAGATGCACTTCATTCAATAACACTCAACACAGTCTTCAAGATGGTTTCTCTACCACATTACAAGTACACTCATGCGGGTAGGATGATAACGTTGAAGGTTACAGTGGTAATTTCAATCACCATATTCTGAGTAATTATTTGGAAACTTCAATCTCGAGATTTCAGAGGACTAGTTTACTTCCAAGTGGTAGTCAAGTCACCTGAAAGTAGCGGTCACGTGTTTCATTCTAGTGTGAGACTCTTCACCACTGCACAATCAATACTCCAGTGGAGACTGAACTCTTCACATTCACGTCTAGCAGAAACCACTCAATCATCCACCCACTGACTTGGAATCCATCGATCGTAGTCGATTAGCAGCTGAGAATTCAACTGATCAGTTAAACAGGTTGAATATCTCGACAACGGCTCAAATAAAATGTGATGATTGACCGATTGTGACTGTAGTCGAGAAGAAGTCATGGCGACATTGTGCTTTTAACCAGTGATCTCGTGATTACCAAGTGAGACTGCGCCGAAAGGGCAAGCATCTCAAGAACTATTACTCTCACTGTATTCTCTTGTCGTTTACCACAAGCAGCATAAATGAAACCTATGCCAACATCTATTCTGGACAACACTTACTTCCTATACTGTTTACCCACACCATCTGGAGCATCTTGAGCTGAATTACATGATAAGAGTGGTTGGTTGATTGGTAACGAAATTGTCTGGAACAGATAACACTCAAGTAAGTGTATGGGGGGGGATTTGAATCGATAGTCTATGGGTCATTATGGAAGTTGACTATTGAGCAATATGACCAGTTAGAGAGAACCTACTCTGATCTTCATAATTTGCTGACTAGATGAGAGTAGTTTAAACGCGCATTACCCTCGTTCTGGGCTTAGCTTATTGGCAGTGTATCTGCTGAAATTCAGCTGATGAGGCGAAACCCTCAAGACCGATATACTTTGAACAGCATGATTAATTTACAAACGATTTACTAATTCCACGGTTGACGTCGATACACTTCTCAAAGCTGAGTCATTTTCCACCTTTCCAACTGTAATGTCAGCGGGGTTTCCATTGCAAAATGTGCGCTAACCAAGATCACAAAATGTGGTCTCAAATATAAAAGTATCATGAAGAAACGAAATATGCCACTGACCCTAATCAATTAGTAGTTTCCCACGTGGATACTGAAATGAAGAAGTTGAAATAAACTCAGTAACCTTGTGCAAATTCACTCAGAAGGGAATGAGCCACAAACCTCTCATGTGTCGGTTAACGATGCTACCACGTTAAAAAAAGTCTAGCTAAGTGTAACTGGGTGTGAACCCGTGGCTCATCAGTTGTCGATCAGTTGTCTAGATCAGTGGGTTTCCGTTACCTCACGAATCATACTTTTAAATATTCTTCATCCTCTGTGTAGGTTACTATGTATTAACCTACCGCAAGTTAATCGTCGTCACTGAGTAAGTGACATGTCAGCTCTTGTTAGACGATACTATGTCATTTTGACTAAGTGAGATAGCCGTGGTTTAGCCGACTAGTCTTGATACTGGCTGACGACTGAAGGTGAAGATAGGATTCGAACCAGCGACAGTTGTTTTCGGAACCAGTGACCTACCAACAGACCTATGAGGTTTAACTGCTGACCAAATTTTTATTTCGCTTAAATCACCAAGGGTTTTAAACCAACTACCATGTGATTTGATGACGCGTTACTAACACCGAAAACCTAATGATCGCTGGTTCCAATCCCATTACGGTCTAAATTTGCATTTCACCTTCAATTATCATCCCATATCAATACTATGTCAGGTAAACTTTGTAAAAAACTAATGAAGTGGATCTGTGTTACTTTCTAAATCTTCAAAATACGAAAATGTTATATTGATTAGTTATGGGACAATATGAATACATATGAATAATAATTACCAGAATGCTTTAGAACGCCAAATAATTGAAAACCTGTTGTTTGAATGAGTGAGAATAAATAGATACATCCAAACACACACACACACACAGAGACACGCGCATGTAAATACATACTTGACAGTTAGATATAAACTTGTCAATTTCTTGAAGCAAAACCTTCTCCCATCATATTACTTAAACAGTTGAAAGAATTTTATGTCATTATGACATTGTTGAATGGTCACGTAAATTGCACGTTTCGCCTTTATTTAACTGAGCGAACTAATTCTCGTTTAATAATTTTTAAAGTAGACAAGTTTAGATGAGTATTTAGCTTGGACGAAAGATTTTTCATCCTAGAGAATAGTTTTTCAAAACTTTATGGACAACAAATGAACGTTAAACTGGTTTTTGATTTATTGAGACAATTAATTCCGTGGTCTGAATTTAGATGAGGAAAGTTTCGCATGAAAACTAATTCATTCAGGCGTCAATATTCTGACCTGACTACTGTCAGCGATGAATTCACAACTATGATCATGAAGGTGTACAGAAATACTACTGGAAGACAGTACTTGTGGTCGATTATTACTGGTTAACTAGACTCAGTATACATACAAACTTAAAACTAACTACCGAAATATACTATTGGTTAAAATTAGTTAGAAAGTGATCACATTGATCTGCATATTTGGCTAGCTTGATCAAAGTGATAAGGCAGGTGATGATTGTTTAACTTATTTGGGGAAAAGCTCATCAGCGGTGTACGCATATACATTCAGCAAACAAAGGTGAATCATTCAGACTCCTTGGATCTGGCTGGCTAGCGAGCTTTCTCATGGACCGATATTATCTTAAATAGGATAAACGATTTGAAAATGATTTACAGACTACATGATCCATGCGAATATTTCTCACAAGCGAGTCATTTTTCAGCTTTCCAACTTTGTTATCCACAAGGATTTATTGCAAACCAGACGCCTGGCGAAATCAGATAGTCTAAGATCTTATACAAAAAAGAGCTATGAACTAACGAAATATACTACTGAACTTGGCTGGTGGGTGGTTTTCAAGCGAAATTTTTTTCACAGCACAGTTGAGCGTCCGAAAAATTAATCAATGCTGACAGTATATATTATAAATCATTTTCAAATTGCTTATCCTATTCAATACTATTTGATCGGTCATAAAAATAGCAGAATATATTAGTAGAAATTTCCAAAGAGTTGGTTGACTGATATTAGAAAGGTCGTTAAATGTTTCTTGCTTCACACAAGATGAATGTCGGCGCAGAATCTACGGAGGGTAGTTAACACAACTCGAAAATACTGCGTTTCCTGGTATCTCTAGGACCTCTTGGCACAATTTGTTTTACTTCACAGATACGCTGTTGTCAGATTATCATGCTTGTCCCATCTACAAAAGTCAACCCTTTAAAAATGTCTGAGGGCTACCAGTCAAAATATTAGCTGACGGAGAAAAATGTACCAAGGTCAAAAGGTCAATGAAGTTTCTCCAGATACACTGCAATGAGCTAAGCCCAGAACGAGGGTAATGCGCGTTTAAACTACTCTCATCTAGTCAGCAAATTATGAAGATCAGAGTAGGTTCTCTCTAACTGGTCATATTGCTCAATAGTCAACTTCCATAATGACCCATAGACTATCGATTCAAATCCCCCCCCCATACACTTACTTGAGTGTTATCTGTTCCAGACAATTTCGTTACCAATCAACCA